GCTCAAATTGCAACTTGTGAGGTTAGCGTCTATTTTAATCTCTTGCTTGAAAACTCGACGTGCACAGCATTATTGCGGAAGCATGAGGTTTTTAACTTAACAGTGTCTGCAGTTGAAAAGGAAGCCGTGACAAAACTGGAGGCATCTAGGCAGGTGGAAACCAACTACTTCCAGTAATTCTCCCTTGAGTTTCTACTGTAGGAGGAAATTTCTGGAGGTGAAGGGATCTTGAATGAGTAGGTAACAAAGAAAAATCAGAGGTATAAAGGTGAATCTGTCTAAGGCAGCATAATTACTTGTTTTACCTTTGTCAGTGAAATCTGGTCTAAGAAAGCGGACAAGGAGAATCCAGATGGTTTTTCACCTCCACTCTTAGTTTTCCACCAAGAGAAAAGGTACTTGAGGTCTGTCTTCAGCAAGAAATGTTTAATCAATCAGGTTATATAGCTAAAATATTTTTTCAGTGTTGTTAAAGGTCAGACTTCTCATAATGGCTGTTTCTGGATATACCTGTATGTCAGGAGCCTTAAGCTTCTCAGACCAAGGTATCCGTGACTAGAGCAGGAACATCTGTTGTCACGGGGAAATTGAATGTGAAAAAATCTGCAAGATGGGAAATATTATCAGATATTTTAGGCTACCCTTCTGAGGAACATGAGCTTATATTCACAGAAACCAGTAGAACTATTGTATGTCTGGAATTTTTTACTACTATAATACCCATAAGTTAGTTTTCCAAAGATCTCCATTACTATTATGTTGATTTATTAATATTTCTCATTACATAGAAATAGCATTTCTGTGATTTAGTAGCCTGATTTTGCCACCAAAGGAGAAAATACAATCCTATTCTTAGGTTTATAAAACTTGCGTTTCTGAAAATCAAGCTCTTAGTGCTTTCTTCTGCTGGCAGTGGCAGGGGGTAGGAGGAGAGGATGTGGGGAGCGGGGATGGTTGGGGATGCCGTACAGTTTTATGAAGTTGGAAAAATGAAGGTAGTCACAGAAGAACTTCTGATGGCTTACTTTGTCTTTATCAGAGCTTATTAAACTTCTTTCGTCTTTCAAGGCATTCATGCTTCCAACGTCAATCTTAATAGTATTGTTGCTTGCATGTTTTTGCACAAACTAGGCAGGTTTTTGGTTATTGTGGGTAGCACATCAGGTAAAGGACTGAAAATGTGTTTCTTTGGGAATGTATTTGACTGCTTACTTTGAATCTGGTTCACTATTTCCCAGGCAATATCAGCTTGTGAATAGCTTTCCTCTATCATTTGTGGTACCTCTCACAAGATGTGTGCTAATCAAAAAGTGTTTTTTGCACAGATTTGCAGACTTAGCAATGTGAATTTGGCAGTTATAGTATGTGACTTTTAAGTCTAGTGAAATTTGAAAATGTAATTCCTAAACTGTTGGTAGTGAATAATGCAGTGGTTTATTTTCTGTCTTTTTCAACTAGTGACACGTAATCTCCTTATGATAACATTAAAAGGCATGCAACTTTGAATTATAAAAGCAGTGTTTATAAACATATGTTTATCTTACAACTTTCATGTAAGTCAATGGAAAAAAGGGGATTAGTGCAACTGGCTTTTGTATCTCAGGTTTATGCAAAATGAAGATAGGGTGCCTTCCAAAGACATAAATGTATGAAAAGAAAAATGGACAATAATACCATATGCTTTTGTATCGTCCATTTAAAAATAAAAGCACATTTAACTGCAGTGGCATAATTTCCTCGGTGACCACAGCAGCATTGAGTTCTTGTTCAAACGCAAGAAAAATTTGGAGCTCCTGTCTCAAAATGCTTAGTTCAAAACTCCTGTGACAGATGTACAAGACAAACGTGAACTGGTGTGGGTACTGGAAAAGGAGAATTATCCGTGTTACCGACTGATGGAGAGTCTCAGTTGTTTCGGTGCTTGCTTTTAGTGACCTGCCCTTTACTTCGTGTGTCCTGGGGGAGGCAAGTCTAACAGAGGCAATGGAAGGAGAATGAGGCAACTTCTTAACAGCTGGAGTTTTCCATTATAGGGCAGACTATGGAAGGGGCTATACTGGAGAAAGAGCTGGGAAAGAGACTTTTTGGATCATTTGAAAAGCAGGACACCTCATGCTAAATTAATATCCTTGCTTATCTGACCCGTTAGGTGGGCTTTGTAAGGATGGTAAAAAGGGCAGAACTTGGAGAATGTACACGATACTGCTCGAGCATCAAGCTGGAAATAACTTACGCTGTAGTATTTTGAATGGACTTAAGGGGTTAGGAAAGAGGAAGGAAACAAGATTTGGAGGCTAGAGAGGCAGCACTCAAGGTACGAGATAAGCATTTGAGGAACAGTTCTGAGTACGTAGATGTCTGAAGAACTGATCTTGTTGGAAGACTCTGTGGGTTTGAATTTAGTTCTGGCAGAGCCCAACTGCGGCAGAACTCTATACACAGAATTACATTTACACTTTTAAACTGAGGTTTTAAATTATTCAACTTCGATAACTGGTTAATTGGCTACTGGGCAGCTTAGTTTCAAATTCAACTTACACAGAGAGCTCTGTTTCCTATATTAACCCCAAACTTTGTTTATATAGGATTAGCTCAGAACGCAGAAAAGAGAAGTCAAGAGATGCAGCCCGGTGCCGAAGGAGCAAGGAATCGGAAGTATTCTACGAGCTTGCTCATCAGCTGCCCCTGCCCCACACCGTGAGTGCACACCTGGACAAGGCATCCATTATGAGACTGACCATCAGCTACTTGCGCATGAGAAAGCTGCTAGATGCTGGTAAGCGAATAACGTAGCAGAATCTGGAAAAGGGGCTGGAGGTATGTTGAGGAAGAAGCTATTTCTCAAATCTATCAGCAGTTAAATAAATACATTAATATTTGCATCCTTTCTATGGAAAAGTGGAAGACCTTACAGTAGAAATAGGCTGTTGGTGATGGCACAGGAAAAATACAGCCACTGTGCAACGGAGTTTGTTTTTCCCTTTCTGTTCTGGTCATCTCAGTTGGCTCATCACAACCATGGTGCCATTTTCAGTCTCAGCTATTTGACCCTTCTCCCAAAGTTAAATTTCTTTCATTTAACCCTCTTTTTTCCCCTCGAGTTGGTTGCTACAACTGTGCTTTACTAACTGTAGGTAGTTGGTGGTAGTTGGTGCAAGGCTGGCTTAGCTAACTGTAGGTGTTTCTCCTTAATATAAACGACAAGGAATTTTTTTGCAATTTGTACTCCACTGAAGGTGAAGTTAGCTGAGGATATGTCTGACTCTGCAGTACACCTTCCCATGCAACTACAGGAGCATGAGTTAGCTTATGAGCCAGTATCTGTGTAGCATGCCATGGATGCTGTACTGGTTATTTGTACTTATGCATGCCTACCTATACCGTATGGAGGAGTAACTTTGGTAGCCATAGCCTGAAATGCCTCCTAGGAAGCCCCTGAGAAATGTTTGTAATGCCTTTTTGAGGTAAATGGTAGTATTTTTGCCACATAAACTTTTTCCTTAAGGTGGAAGGTTTATTAATTTATGCATAAAACCACAGAGGTTTAACCTCACTCTGATTTTCTGTGATTTGTGATACCATTACTAGAGCTTGAAGAATTTAATTGATCACTTATCTAAGTGAATTATACTGGGTTTGAACAGTCCTGCAAGATTGACTCCTTGCAGACTGGTGCCGGAAGTCATTCCTGATGGTAAGTGAAGAATGGCTGATGTTTACTTAAACGAAAATGTGTGGCTTCTTGTAGGTGAGCTGGAGACAGAAGCCAAAATGGAGAGGGAACTGAACTGTTTCTACTTGAAAGCTCTTGACGGATTTGTCATGGTTCTATCCGAAGATGGGGACATGATTTACATGTCTGAAAACGTGAACAAGTGTATGGGACTCACTCAGGTGAAACACTGACATTTCCTAAGATGGTTTCAAATCTGTAAAAGTTGTTACATTTTTTAATATGTAAAGTTAGACACGCGTATACCTTTTATTTTTTGCAGTTTGAGTTGACGGGGCACAGTGTATTTGATTTCACTCATCCATGTGACCATGAAGAGCTGAGAGAAATGCTTACACACAGAAATGGTGAGAAGAAAGAAAAAAATCATTTCCTTATGGATAGTTTCTGTTGGCACTAGTACAGTTGGATATCTGCCAGAAAAAGATGTTGAGAGAACAAACTAGTATGTTTTGCTGCTTAAATCTCAAAATAAACCCTGTTCAGAGATACTAACAACAGAAATAACCAGAATGTTTTAGCAGTATCCTAACTGTAGGAGAAATGAGACTTCATTAGTACTCTTTAATGTAAAACAAAATAACTAAAACGGAGTTATTGAGGGTGGAAAGAATTAGCGTGCCTATAGGAATAAAATTAGAGATAGGTTGAATGAGAATGATCTTAAGCGATTGCTATAAGGATATGGAGAAGTGAAATTGGCACATTTGTCTTGGTCTGGGCTTGCCTTTACAGGACAACTTAAAAGCAAATGCTTTCTTCCAGAAATCTGTGGTGGTATACTTAAGACACAAAGATACTATATTTAGGACACCGAAAAACTAATCGGGGAATACTTGGACAGCCCCAAAAAGGGCTTTGGGATTGATGCTTCTCTGCACCTTTTAATTGGTGCATGAAATTGGTATCTTTTCACAGATTTCTGACTCTTTTTTCTCTGTCCGAGGGAGTAGAACACCATGTTTACTTATTCTGTATGCTTTTGAATTTAACAAATGCCCATGAATTACTGCTTTTATGTCTTCTAAAGGTTTGTTAATGACTATAAAGACTTGGCAGCCTGCATGCCTCCAAACAGATCTGCTCTACTCAGTTGTTAGAAGCCTAAAATCTGACCTTTCCAATTCCTGTTTCATCAAACAGGGGTTATATGGACTCTGAATCTAGATAGTGATAAATTGCCAAGCCTGACCTCTGCTTTCGTGTAGCACTGTAAATCAGAAGTCTTTTATGTTGTCATTCTGTTTAATTCGGTGGAAGAGACCTGATAAGGTATCATAGCATGAAGGGCCCCGACTTTGATTTTGTAAGCATTTTCTAAACTTGTTTGCCCTTAGTATTGAAGTATGTTTCTAAGGCTAGACTAGGCTTCCCCCCCCCGCCTTTGGAATACAGTAATGCATCTCGGGGGGTGGGGAAACAACTTCACTATGGCAGTGTACAAACTGGTCTTGTTGTAAAAACTTATTCTTAAAAATGTCATATTATTGAGTTTCATGCAAAACCAACTCTAGTGTGTCTAAATTGACCAGACTGGAGTAAGATGTCTGGAAAGCATTATTACAAAGTCTGTTTCGCAAATTAAGTTGGCAGACAAAAGTCTAAATTACAGTAATAATAGTACATTTTTATATTTATTAGTATTCCCAGGTTGCATTCTACTGCAGCTCTTACATCAGTGGAATTATTTTGGTTTTGAATTGGGTATTAAATACTCCCCTTTGGGATTGTACAGGTGCAAATGAATATAAATGTGATTGGCAGAAACTGAACTGCATTCTGATTTTTATGAAGTTGCTTTTTAAACTTTCAAAGCTGGTGATTTTAAATATAATGTCCAATGCTGAATCAGAATTGAGAAAGTTGCTCCATCTTTTACAGTTGCTTCTTAAAGCAGAGCCTGAAGCATCAGGACTTGGTAACAATAACGTTGTGTGATCTTCAACTATGAATTTCTAGATTGGTTTAACTCTTTTAAAAACATACTGAATTAAATAAGTTTTGGCTGCTTCTCTGAACTCTGCTTTTTTTTTTTCCTCCCCCACTGCTTATTGAGGATATTTTGATTGGCATAAAGTAGGCTTGTCCCTGTTAGTCTTTGCCTCTGCTAGAAGCAAAAGACAATGTAGCATAGGGGCTTTAACGTTTTTCTAATGAATTTTGTCAAACTAGTAGTTGCAGTGCAAGCCACCATGAAGAATTTCACAGCTACTGTTGTCTGTGGAGGATGAGAGAAAATTATTGTATAAACTTGTATCAGAAGTAAGCTCACATGTTCTAAACTTCCACCCTATGCCATGATGTGGTCCTAACTCCTTAGCACGCCTCGGCAAACTTGCTCTTCCACTGCTCCTTATCTTAGGTGCTTTATTTCCATCTTCCATGCACAGCAAGCTGCTTGCAGCTCTCCTGATAGGATCAGTTTCTTTGCCCAGAATAGCCTAGCTAGTAATTGACTCTGAAAGGTTCTCCCCTGTAAGGCAAAAACATAACTTAAAAGCCTGCTATTAGCAAGTAAGGCTAAAAAATTAGTGCTGCTAATATTAATTTGTATTAGGATTTCTTGACTTTTTTTCCCCAAGAATGCTAATAATGTGTTTAAAAGCTTGGTTCCTGTTTACTCTAAGAGTGTAAACCACTGTGGAAATATTTGGGTGCGTGTAAGCAGCAGAGTTGTTAATTCTGAATTGAAAAACTTAAAATACCGCAGTCCTGAAGAGCTACGGGCCCAAAATGTATTTGATTTGAACTTTCGTACAGTGAGTTACTGATGCATTTTAATGGAAACCAACTCAACAGTACTTCTTATTCTGCACATGGTTTTCTTGTCCTCTGTCACAGTTTTAAAATACATTAAATTTTCAATCAGTCTGTCTTTCTCCCCACCCCTTTTTCCTGAAATCTGGGAGTGTGGAGTTGGCTACAAATACGATACTGAACATTGAAACTTCAGTTTTTTGCCTACCTCATTCTGCCTCACAGTAAAACTCATTCTGAAAAGTGTTATTATTGAAAGTGCTGTTAGGTTTATCAATCTTTTTAATTTTTTTTTTTGGTCTTCCCCTAGTCTTAGGGTACTATAACATGGTTTTTTTTTTTAATGCCTTTGGAAGATGATCCAAGACCTTAAGAATTGTTTGCTTTTGCTAGGTCCTGTGAAAAAGGGCAAAGAGCAAAACACGGAGCGCAGCTTTTTTCTCAGAATGAAGTGTACACTGACTAGCAGGGGAAGAACAGTGAATATAAAGTCTGCTACGTGGAAGGTAACTAATGCAAAGAAATACTTACGTAGTTCAGCAGCTTCCTCTTCAGATGTCATAACACTATATTTCAATATTTTACTTTATGTAACGAGCTTGAGTTTCACTAAGTACTTAACTAATTTAGTGATTGTGCTTCAATATGCTGAATTTTAATACTGAATACATCATGGACGTAACTGAAACAATGTTTTAAAATCAGTTTTTCAAAACTTTTAAAATGAATTCTCCATGTTAAATTAGAGGTAATTTACTTACTAGAAAGTATAATTACTGAATATGTTTGCATAAAGCCGCCGCCTCTGAGAAAAAAATATTTGACACCACTTATGCTGATACCTGATTTCTTTTGATTTGACGCTGTAAATGTGACAGTTGAGGTCTCTCTGAAGGATTTCAATACCATTCTTTCTGAAGCTGCTGGCTATCCCTTTTGTAACAGTTGGAACAAAAAGAGCCCAGCCTGATAACTTTCTGCAGTGAATGCATTTTCTCCTCTGGACAAAAAGTAACCTTTTACTGTATCGAGTGGTATTATGGCTCACAATTGTCTTTTATAACTTAGATTTAGTTATTCTGGATCAAACAACTTCTTTCTTCTTTGCTGCTGTCTGTGAACAATTTCTACTTCAGAGTGGTTAAAAAAAAAAAACACAAAATGCAAAACTTCTTGTCTCTTGAAGAATATATTTGATCTCTAACCTCACTTCTGCAAAAGATCTAAAATGGAGGTTGCTACTATTACCATAACTTTCAAATTTAAATAGTAAGATACCGTTTGCTGAGGCAATTGCTTATCAATGTCGTCATTAATGTAACTTTCAAAGAAGAACTGTTCACAGAAATGCAGAAATGTTTCGCGCTGCTTCAGCCAGTGCCCAAGAGGAAAGAGTTGGCAGCCTGTGTACTCATCACAGTCTGTGTAGCGTGAGGAGGAGAACTGCTGTTCTCCTTTAGCCATCCATTTGAAAGCACTACTGCTTCTGTTGTTGCTATCACATCGAGGGGTGGGGAGGGGAAGGACTTCGCTCCGGGTGTGCTAATGGAAATATGATTGTGTTGTCTGACAGACAAGAACATGGTCTCTTTTTAAAATGCAACTTTCCCATAGGTACTGCACTGCACTGGACACATTCGTGTATACGACACATGCGGTAATCAAACTCACTGTGGCTACAAAAAGCCTCCCATGACGTGTCTGGTGTTGATCTGTGAACCTATTCCTCATCCATCAAACATTGAGGTCCCCTTGGACAGTAAAACGTTCCTCAGTCGTCACAGTCTGGATATGAAATTTTCCTATTGTGATGAAAGGTAATATATATTTTGTACCTAACAAATGAATTCATTTGAAGGATTTGCAGGGTTTTTACATGTTGGCTAATGTTAGCCTTATACATTTAAGTAGTCTTACTTGTTAACTTCATTCATCCTTGCAATGGAATCGTCACTGGGATTCTTTGGCTTTTCCTAACTGATGAGGATGTCTTATTTAAAAGCCAGATTTTTAAATCTAAGGAGGGTGCAGGGTTATTACTTTGGAATAAATCCTTTGCCTGCAACCAGCTGCCTGTTGAAACTGGTCTTTAGTGTAGTGGCAGCAATTAAACTGAAATGAGAAGATACTTCTGGACAGTGAAAAAACAGGAAGGATTTTAGGTTTGTCAAAGATGGTGACTTTGGTGACTGCAAAGACTGTGTCTGTAATACTGGTCAGATGCATTTTATTGCTACCACTTCCCCCTGCTCTCTTCCTCAGGAGATCAGTGTCTGCTTTCTGTAGTCCAAAAAACCTACAAAAGTTCAGCTGTACTTCTAATACAATACATCTGCTGTTGAAAATGAGATTTTGTGTTCTGGTACACATCATGGATGTAGTCAAATACATAAGACTGCTCTTACTATCCTCCGGAAACTTAGCTTGACAAATCGAAAAACAGAAGTGAAGGAAATAATTTGCCTGAGGTTTTTTGTTGTTTGGGGTTTGTTTGTTCAGGGTTTCTTTGTGTTTTTAATTGGGTATTATTTGTTACTGCCTGTTTCCTTTTCTTTGTAACAAAACCGAACTTCTACTTAGTTGCTGCAGTTAGATGCAAAGAGATGTTAGTGCAGGTTATTTTCTGTCTTCTGCATTAACTGTACCTTTCTAGGACTGATGGTGTCACATACAAGGTACTTATTTGGTCACATTCTGCATGTAGAATAGGGCAAAATAATGCGTTCCCCTGGTTAGCACTGCCCTCTGGGGGCTGAAGAAAATACTATTTTCTTTAAGAGCTGGCAGTGGTTGCCAGTGGGAAGAATAAATCTGATTCCTAATTTCTTATAGTTGCAGATTTAAAACTGTTGAAGCATATCTTTTATTTTATTAAATTCTCATATTTGTGTAAGCTGAATATGCTAGTCCATAAGTAGCTGGTCTACCTTTAAGAAAAAAAAAAGTCTAGAAAGTAGGGATTTACTTAATTCTGTCCACCACAGGACATGATATATAAATATTCAATGAGAAGTAAGATCCTATGCCTGCTCAAATTTCTCTTTTAAAGAAGCATAAAAAAATTGAAAACTCCCAATAAACCAAAATTGCTGCTAATGTGTATGAAGGGACTCTTAGGATTTTTCTAGATGTGCAAGCATCTAAATGCTCTAGTATTTGTGCTACTCCACGTCTGCTTTTACTTAGCAATTTTTTCCCTTTGTTTTAAAGAATTACAGAGTTGATGGGGTATGAGCCAGAGGAACTCCTGGGTCGCTCAATCTATGAGTACTATCATGCGCTGGATTCTGATCATCTGACCAAAACACACCACGATAGTAAGTGAAAAGATGTATATAAAGCCCTCCAACTACAAGAGATGAGATGCAGCACCGGGGGAAAGCAGCAGAAGAACAAGGGCTTTCTTTTAATTGCAGAAATGAATCTGCAGTGAATACTTATCTTAAATGGTTTCAGTTTTTTCTGCCTGTAATTAAAGCTAGTATCCTTTCTGCTTTTAGTGTTCACGAAAGGGCAGGTGACAACAGGACAGTACAGAATGCTTGCTAAACAAGGTGGCTATGTCTGGGTTGAAACTCAAGCAACTGTTATATACAACACTAAGAATTCTCAGCCACAGTGCATAGTGTGTGTAAACTATGTGTTGAGGTAAGTTGACTGGACATCACTATTCTTTGTCATCATTTTTATTGAAGATGAATCAGATACTGATGGCATTACGTCTTTTTTTTCAACTGAGAATGTGGTCCCCTGTTGAATATGTTATGATGTTACTATTTTTCCTACAAGTGAAATTTTTGCTTAGAATACTGCCAGTCCTAGGATAAGGAATTGTATTTGAAAATAAAACACTTTTTTGATCTAGTGATGTCAGTGGGAAGATCTCTTGCAGGCAAATGAGAATAGGGCCAGCCTCTTCTGGACTGTTGTGATGGAAGCATTTGAGAATTTGTGTGCATTCTAGACAACTCTCTAATCCAGACCGCAGTCTGGAGCAGTTAGTTTCACTAATAACTTTTATTCATGGAGTCAGAGCAGCAGTAAAGGTGTCTGCCTTAATCTCATTTATCTTTTTCTTCCTTAGAATTACTCTTTTGACTGAAAGCTTCAACTGAAGGCAGACTTGTTCACTGTTTTTCTGCAACTGTATAATAGTCCTAAATTATTTTTTCAAAACTTTAGCAAATGTACCAGTATCAATCTATCAACATACTGTACATTCATTTAAAACAAAGTGTTTTAGCAAATACCTAACTTTTTCTTTCTTACTTTCTCAATGCTTTCAGAAAAGCAGGTTTATTTTTGTTACTTTTTTTAATATCATAGAATCATAGAATAGTTTGGGTTAGAAGGGACCTTTAAATGTCATGTAGTCCAACCCCCCTGCCGTGGGCAGGGACATCTTCAACTAGATCAGGTTGCTCAGAGCCCCATCCAACCTTTTTGATGACACCACAATTAGTGCTTGCTTTGTCTATTACATTTGAGGAAAGAATGAGTAAGAAAAAAAGAATTCTTAAAGCTCCTATCCTGGTAATTTTGTGGTGTGGTGTGTGTGGGTTTGTCTTGGGGTTTTTTTTGGGGGGGTGGGGTGG